GTGGTACATATATATCTGGTGTCCTCTCGTACCAATATTTATGTGTTCAAATAAAATAAAATAAAGTTTTTACTCCATATGAAGCTTTCATTTCACAAATTTTTTATCAGAAAGTTTTGATTAAGCATTAGTCTAACTATCATAAATTGGTTGAACTCTGTTACTATTTATGAAAGTCTTTTTTCTCCCTTTTAATGAAGGCTAATGAAAAATTGTTAGGAATAGAAAAAGAATATAAAATTCGATTAATGGAAGCAAATAAAGTATGTACATATGTTAGTTTTCTTACATATATTGTGCATCTATAAATATTAGGTTTTGGAGTTTTTATGTTCTGCAAGAATTTGGAAGATTCTCCCGGTCTCCCATATTGTACGAACATTCCACGTACCTAAATAAATGGTTGCCCTGGTTATCAGAAAGGGGCGTCGGCCTCGTGACTTCCGGAGGAACTCGGCTTTCACCATGAGGCGTCGTAACTCTTCTAAATGTAGACCTTCTGACTCCCAGGGCAGAGTTTAAATGGTTCGAATAATTTTTTCTGGTTAGCGTTGTTTTAGCGAGTTATTTTTCTACGAAATGGGGTCGCTAACACCATGCCCAACCCTCCTCCTTTATTCGAGCTTGGGGCCGGCAGTAGCCCGAAAAAGGCTCCAGGTGGAGTTAGGTCTTTATGTAGGTTTTTGTAAAACAAGTGTACGACATTATTACGAATCGTTGTACTTGTAATTTAGGGAAATAAACCGATAGTCAAAAGGTATTTGTGAAGAATGAACAGAAATCAAATATCTAAAAATATTTCCTACGTTAAAAGTAACTATATTCGTAATTTTCATAGTGTCTTATAGGAATCATTTACCAGAGGCAACCTGGTTCCCTTGACTAATGGATATTTAAGTTTAGCAGTCTGAAGTCAACCATTGAAATGCCCAAATTAACTAAAGTGTATAAATGCTCAAGATCTTTTCTATTCTAGATATGTTATGAGATCAATTTTTGTTGCAGCCGAATTATTAATCATTTCGTTATACTGATCCTTATTCTTAACTGTACTATTTAGATGGAATATTTTATCTGTAAATAGTAGCTTAAATCACCTAATATAATGTGAACATTCAATTATCCTGTTTTCTTAAATCTTTTCGGTTTGGACCCAAGAAATAATTCGGTTTTTACTAATGATACTTTTAGTTTCACATTAACTCAGAGTATTTCATAAAAGCAATCTTCACACTAACCCCACTCAACCTAGTTTGATTTAGGTTGAGTGAATAGTTTTATTAGCCTTTAAATTTAGTGTACCTCATAATCAAATACCTGGTGAATGAGTCAATTATAACTATGTATTTGATAATTGACTGATGATAATTTTTAATGATATCTCTTTTATAAAGCGACTGAATGAAAGTCAAGAGAAAATAATTAATTTAGACATGATATTACAGAAAGCCTTACAAGAAAAAAGAAACACACAAGAAACATTATCTGAATCATTTCAAAGTGAAATTGAACAAATGAAGAATAAACAAAAGCAAGAAGTATTGGTTGGTATTCATTATTAATATATATAAATATTATTTCATAAACAATATTATACATATTGTTAATTGTTATGTAATGAATTCTATAAGTTTGTCTCTTTAAAATAGAATAGGTAAAACATTGGTACTCAGTTGATGAAAGACTTTGAAACAAAATATTACAGCATAATTTACATAAAATTCAACTGAAAAGTAGTAATTTGCAACGACTTTTCTGTTCTTTATATATATACACTTCTGTTTATAATTACACTTAATGAAGACGTTTATTATTGAATAATATTATCGGTATAATGTTTGGAAATATGAATAAAATGTTACTTTATGAAGCAGGAAATAACGAGTACTTTTTCGATTCGACAAGGTTATAACTGCTCCAAAATGTGAAATTCTCAGAATTAAATGCATAGTTGATAACATACAAATAAAGTGGTATATATATCTAAGCTTACACTTCAAACTATAAAATAATGTATTAGTTATACTTTTAGTTTTTACCAAGTTTTTTTAATAAAGGTAGGGGATATTTAAAGCTTAGCAGAAAAATTCTCACGATGTTGCGTTTTCTGGGCTGGACAGTTTAACCATGAAGTGCTCTTCATTTTTAAAAATACGTTCCCAGAGTAAATTAAAAAAGAAATTGGCTTTTGAAATTACCCCTGACGCCAATAAACAGCTTGTTATGCCAACATCGAAATTTCAGTGGTCGCTGGCAATACTTGTACAGTCATTGTCGATAAATTCTTTTTTATGGCATTTTCCACTATCTGACTGATGAATATGTAGTCATTAATCTATTTTCTCATTAGTCAATAAACTGGATATATTTTGGTATACCTATTGACTACTGAGTGATCAAACTGTCAAGCTTTTGGAAATTCTTTGGTCAAATTAAGTGTTGCTCCTGATGAAGATTTCATAATTTCCCAGTCTAATTAATGTTCGTATCGCTTGATGTAGGTGAGGATACTTCGTGATATTTGATATTTAGGCAAAACAGAACGTTGACATTTTGGGAGGAGGCAACATATAGATAATTTTTCTTTGGGGTTCTAGTTGGTGATTTTGCCTAGAAAGACGAAGAAATCTTGGTGATTAGACCACTCGGCTTTATGATCGAAAACCTACAACGAAATTCCTTAACAGCCGATACCGATTTAATAACAGAAAAACGTGAAGCATTATCGGGACCATGGAGTTATCTTAGATGCAGACTCGAACGTGAAACTTGTGCTGTGCCAAAATGTTTGTTTATCAAATACCATTGATCAGGCCTATGATATGAATTGCGGTCAATCGACTGGCGTAACTCAATCTGAACATTACACATAGTATTTCATACTTTACATTGCGAACTGATCCTAGATAATAAGTGAAAACCAGGAAGTAGCGGATATCCGTTTCTTCCTCCCATGGAAGCACATCAGGGATTGGACCTAAGACTTTCAAATTATTACTTGGTTGAAACCCGATGTGTAGGTCAATGGATGACAGACCAGAAGTCTAACGGTTGAATTCTTTCATCGAGACCTGGAATTCATGGGTTCAATCCCCGCTATGGTTGTGGGCAAGCACTCCAGAGGAATCGCATACTATGGCGAAATAGCTGCCCAGTGCTTCCTGGTTTTCGATACTCATTTAATAAGGTAATTCAGTGATGTAAACCATGGAAGCTAACAATCTCCACAACACCTTGTTATAAGAACTACACAGTATCCCAGTCTCATTTAACTCGCTGGTGGTTTAGCCAATCAGAAAGTGAATGAGTAATGGATTTGAGAATGCGGCGAAAACAGGAATGTTTCTACCCCCGTAAAAGGAGTGCGGTGATTTCTAAACACTATACCATTCTCCAGATGATTCCGGATTTAAATAATGATTTTAAACGATACCCTTATCATAGGTGTGTTAAGTTTATGTGCAAGACCTTGTATATAACAACCGGATATATTAATTACCTGTTCCTCTTCTGTAGATCTTGAAGGAGGCTATATCAAAAGAGCGCAATAGAGCACGTTTAGCAGAGATTTCTCTTCGTCAGCAAGAAAAGGCGTGGAACGATATGAAGACTCGCTGGCATGAAGAACGTATAGCACAATTAGGAAATTCATTACCGATTGAATCCCGTACTCATATGGAGGCAACTATTGAGGCACTGCGTCTTCAGGTTAGTTATATGTAGTTTAATTTAGACTCTTTGACCTATTAGTTAATATCAGAAAACTTCAAAGACCGTCCATACCAAATGTAGACATTGATGTAGGCTTTTTAACGAAAGTAAAATCTTCAGTGAAACAGAAGGTACTAGTCTGTTCGAACTGTTATTTGTGAAACAATGACAAATAACATACTTTGGGACTAATTTTTTTTGAATGGATTTTAAGGGTGTTTGTTTGTCCCATCATGTAACATAATGCTGATTAGTATATTTCCTAACTATTATTTCTTATAACGTAATCGGATTTAATAAATCAAAAAGAGACATAATTGGTTATAATATAGGAAAGTGCATTTACATTTTTACTAAATTAAAAATAACTATAGAGAACGGTAATGAAGTTGATAATACCCTTGGCAGATGTGATCAAATAAAGTCTCAAACTGCCTGATGGCGATGTCAGCCGGTTCAGCATCAATAATTACAATTAATTCTTTTTTAGATAACCATTTATTTATGGCGAACACCTTTCTACAGGTAGATTTTTCCTGGTATTTACCGTTTCGGATACTTACGCACAGATCCTGAGACATATTCAAAGAGTACAAATAATGTTATAATAGGTAGGCAAGCTAATGAAAAAGAATGTTTCGAAGTCTTGTACGAGAACCCTAAGGATAATCCTTTTCTCCGTCAAAAACGAAACAACTGAACGCATTAACTACTTCACTTTTTGCTGCATCGGAATCGATAAACTGGTGGTTCGACCAGTTGCTGACTACTTGAAGGATATTTGTCTTTAAGCGTCCTGTCAACTTTATATAATAGTGTTCTTCGAAAAGACACACTGGGACTAATCAGTTATTTCTGCTTTTCAATAAACAAGGTTAATCTACTGAAGAAGCGAATAACCGTAATGGAAGAAGATCGGGAGACAAACATCACTTACCCACTAAAGTTACAATTCAGTGACCAAGACGTATCATTACTCAGCGAAGACTCAGTACAAAATGAATCTCCAGTAAAAGATCAACCTGAAGCAAACCAAGACAATTTAGAAAAATGTGAAGTGAACAACAATTCAGTTCCTTTAGGAGATAACTCACGACGGAGAATTGCGACTGAGTGTACAAATTTACAGACTAATCTAGACGCATATTCTTACAAAGCTACTTGTTCAGAAGATTGGTTATTGAGCGGACACTGACAGACTATCGTGCTCTAGGTTTTACAAGTTATTATTTATGCTTTTAAAACAACTTGGCTATACATCTTGTATATTAAAAAAAACTTGTACTAAATGATATAATATAAAGTGTATTTCAATTTTATAGTCTTTGTTTCATTGTAAAAATAAGTGCGAAAGGGTAATGGACATCATAATCGGAACTAGGTAAATAAAAATACACCACAAAGTATTTCTTTACGAATTTGACGACTTTTTTCGTTTCCTGTTTAATTTTTTGTGCTTTAATACTTTATTTACATTTGAAATAGCCGCAGCCAGACGGGGTGTTTGAAAAGGGACATTATGGAAATCACCCATCTCTGAAGAAGCATTATTAACAAACTTGGCCTCGTTTTTATTGGAATCACGAACAGTATCACGTTTTTTCCGAATAGTTCGGGATAAGCGACGACGACTAGGTGGATGATCTAAATTTGATTTAGATGTATCCCCTTTGTTTATAAAGTCTGAAAAACTGTTACCCCCGAAATCAACAGGCAGTTGACAATCTTCTCCTGGGAATTGAGATTTAGAAAATAGGATAGCAATCCCCGGTTCTTCCTAGATAGAAACACATAAACGACAAGTTAGTAATGAATATAACTTCAAATAACTAAATTATTGGATATAACACTTATAGACGAGAAAAAGCATCGAACCATATTTTTTGATGTATTAAGATCTAATCACTGAGTTCACCATACCCACATATAATTGTGATGGAAAATAGAGGTTATATTTTCATAACATATCCTAACAGAAAGACTAGTTGGGCTATAGCACAATGTTTTACATAATAGTTTCGCGAAGGATTTTAGATGGCTTTTAAATGTAGGCTCACTTTGGACGGTATGTTTATCTAGTTATTGAAATAAGTAGTAGACTTGCTAATGAAAGTTGATATCTTAAAAAATCCTGTCCACCGACCTCTAAAGCTTCAAATATATACGTCCCAACGATGACTATGACAAAAATTTCTGAAGGGATTGGTGATGTATCCTCCTAATTCCATTGAGGATATTATGGAGGTGAAATATTTTATCTCATACATTTACGTTTGGCAATAGGAATAAGGATTTACCAATTAACCTATATTTGTGGCGACCATGAAAAATGGAAACATAAATTAGGAAAGCACATGGGAACAATGAAGTCAATCAGTCAGATACAACGTAGCACCAGGCACATATATGCATCAGTCCAAGTTGCCACACCTCATTAGCACAACAAAGTGAACACCAAATTCATAGAAGCAGTTACTTCAATAGCAGTAATATATAAAAGAAAGGTAAGGACATAATATAATATAGAGAAAGATATAAAGTAACTTCAAGGACTGATGCCACGTTTGGGTTTGGCCTCTCCTTTATTTTATTCATTTGAACACAAATATTGGTACAAAGGGGCACCGAATACATATGCGCCACAAAAATAACTTGATTTGTGTGTGAGCCGAAAGCAAAAGAAAACTGAATACTTTTTAAAACATTGGGATGGAATCGGATAGAAAGTTGTGAGGTTAAGCTATATCCAAAGTAGCTGCTAACTTATCTTGATGGTTGAGCTTGGGTATAACAATGACCCAACCGAGCTACATAGATCGGAATACTCGATACTTTAGATCCTACTATACCAGGTAGGTCAGTTGGGGAACAATAAGACTAAGAGGACCAGTAAAGATGGATTGCGCAAAAACAAGGTGATATCTAGTGCTGTTAAAGTATGAGGGTGTTTGTTATTTCTCGGTTGCTCATACATGGAAGGATACTTCGTCTTGAGGTACCTGGAAAGGAGACCGGGATGGGCTAGGTCTTGATGACTTAGAGACGTGACCGCAGAGCCCAAGCAGTTACTACTTGGGGTTGGTCACACACGGTGAGAAAATTGAGACGTGCCAGCTATGTACCTACAAGACCAAACCGTCAGCAGCGGAAATCCAAGGGATGCACTGTTCTGTTTTTAGATACAAACAGCACTTCCGCAGATGGTGGTTGTCTAGCAGAAGCACAAAACTGCTATCACGTCTCTGTACAGTTATAAGTACGACTTCACTCTCGGAATGAGTCTACTGCTTTTAGTCCTACCGTTCTTCAACTAACCTGTCTGGTATGTTAGGGCCTAGAGAATCATGTGTTCCAGTGCATATAACAGCTATTTTTGAGTACAATAGGTCTATTTATTCCAAAAGGTTTACCAGCAATATAGGGACTGTAGTGTACACGTTTGGTGTCATACTTTTTGAATGCGCAGTCTTTATTCGAAAAACAAGGTAAGTCACTTCCTAATTTCCTATTCAAAAAGACCTTCATACACATAGATAAATTTGTCAGTTTAAGTCAAGATTTGGATATTATGGAAGAGAAATTAAGTGTTAAAATCGCCAAAAGTAAAGTAAACAATTAGGGTCATTTGACAAGTGTCAGAAAGACAAATTGAAGTATTTGCGTGATACCTAATACTTATGATATAGATTACAATTAAGTTACTTTTTACAGACGTTGATAAAGGTTTATAAAGATAAAACTAAGTTGTAGATAACCGATCTTACCAGGGTGCAACTTATTTTTGTATCAGGAACTGAGCAATTACATGATTGAATATGCAAGCGACTACATTGGTACATTTTTGGTGGGCTGGCACCATCTAATTGTGACGCCTGTGAGATTGTATTGAGTACATTGCTTTTGAACATCTCAGCACACGCAACAGTCTTCGCAACAGCGCCATGTTTGCTCCACCATATAATCTGTGCAAGAAGTGGCATAGTAAATTAATCACTAGGGCATCTTACTGAAACTGTAACTGCGATTTAGATTCTTAATTGCTATTATAACGATCAAGCTCTTAAAAGTAGCAGAAAATGGAATCAGAATAGTAGTTTCAGATCTCTTGAAACCTAATCCAAGATTATAAAAGGTCAGATATATCTGAAACCATTAATAACAGTAAAGAAAAGTTATAAATATCAGTTCTCATAAAACCATCGTATGTGATGGTGAATTTGTTTTGGCCAATTGTAAAACAGAACCAATTTAGTATTTTTAAAGCTCAAAAGACTTTTTACCAAGTAGACAGTACAGAGCTCAAGGTTATATTAGTACCCACACGTAAAATCTTGGTTATATACGATTGGGAAATTGACAAGCTGTAGTTTACTAATTCATTTCCACTTTAATACCGATCATGATAGGCTTTCACCAAGCGCAATACATTCATGATTGACACAAAAATGGTAGGTGAAATCCTAGGGGAGCATTTTTTGCAATGAGACTTGTTTGCTACTAGAATTTATCAGGAAAAGTATACATTTAACTGAAATATGTAACCAATGACCTCTTACATATGATGGGTAAACATCAAGAAATTAATCTACCCAGGTGGAAACCACACGTAACTAGAAAATATGAACTCATTATAAAACAATAAATCGAGGAGAGTAATCACTGTACAGTCATGTTCAATGTTTCTTATAATTAATATAACTCACTGACTGAACCTAGCGCAGATAGAGTGCTTCTTATGCTTTTTGGTGGTATGAAAAAACTGCCGTACAGTAGATTATAATCCAAGTCAGTAGTCGGATACACCTTTTGTAAAGCTTTGATTGAACCATTTCTTCCCGAAACCTTGTTTTTGGGTCATGCAGACGCGTAAAACGAAAGCAACTATTTCAAACAACTGGAGCTACTTATTGTGCCTTAATGAATACAGGTGTAGTCGTTTACCAGACAATATTGAAATATATAGGATGCTCACATGCAGTAGTCAAAACTACTAGCACAAGTCTATCCATTTAACACAAATCTCAAAAACTATGAACGATTCTCGTTGAATACTCATATAAAGACAGCGGTGACTAATAGAATGTAGATGTAACTTAAGCTAGGATAGGTAACCCTAGCCTAGTTCTGGTAGGTACACTGATGCACAGACTTTCAGCACGTGAACGAATTTACCAAGATTATAGTTCGTATATTCTCTTTAAAACATAATAGCAACAGAAAGATGTACATGTAAATACTTCTTTAAAATTCTTACCGTATCTGTCTCTCCACTTTGGAACTTTTCAACGGCGTATGGGACTAGGTTTGCTGATTTGCTGCCAGGCATTACATTCATGTTAATACATCCAGATACATCTGAACCAAATATGGACTTAATGTCGGGAATATTTGCATCTCCATGTAGCAGTTTCATTATTAGCGTAACAAAGCTTATACTGAAGTAAACGAGACTACCCAATTATGAAAGTAACTGAACCAGTCATTGACTTATTTTAAGATAACCAACTTTTTATGAAGTTGTAACGTCCAGCCTTTAGATGTTTTGCGTCTAGCCTGAAAGTATGTTATTTCATAAGTGAGTTTGAAAATCTAAGAAGAGAACGAGAGAAAAACTGAGCCGAGTCAGTAAGAATACAGAATGCACTTGCGTTTAACAATGACGTCAATTGGTAACAAACAGGAGTAAGAGTAAGACAATCTGATGCCCCCAAATGCCCTGGTACGGCCGAGAGTGGGGAGAGTCCGCTCTCCCTCTTGAAATACTCTCACACGGCCACGCGTATATAGCCTCTGCCAGGGAAGTCCAACTCACTGCCTTCTCGTGGCGGGGGTGTTGTTTACGAAAATGAGAGAACGAAAAGCGAATGTCCGGCGCTTTAACCGGATTCCAAATCAATGGTGCACATGGGCTCCAGTATCCTGCGGGAACAAATGGCGAATGAACCAATTGTTGGTCACCGGCTACCATGGGACTGCATCTCCTTACGATGCTCCACTGCCTTGTGGATCAGACCTTCAGGTCGAAGGCTCGGGGTGTGGCCCCCTAAGAAAACCACCTGCTTCGGTTTGGCACCCGGGCAGTATCACAGCCCTCACACATATCGAATGAGATTTGTGTGGCGAATATGTATTTAGTGCCTCTTTGTACCATTATCTATGTGTTGAAATAAATAAATAAATAAGACAATCTGATACTAAAATAACGTGTTTCCCGCTGCGTTAAAACATTGTAGTGGTTCGCGTTTAGCCAGAAAGTACTTTGTGTACTAATGGAGCATACAGAGAGCTGAACAAGATAACAAAAGAAAAAGTGAGCCGACGACCGACTAGGCACAGTATCAAGGAAAGCAATTGACAACAATAAACAGTAACACAAGCCTCAGATTAAGATAATCCTGAAATCGAAACTAGAAGCAGGTAGTTTAGTCCACTATATAGCTGCCCGTTATGGCAAAACACTGCCACAGTGGTTGCAATACCTTAATTGGGGAAAGAAACAACTTCACATTACTTCATGGAGTTATGCATCCTAGCAGGTTCAGCTTGTATGTAGCGATTTTCCTGTAAGGCAATTAAAAACAGCAAGTCCAAGTAAAGGATCCTTTATGTACACAGTAATTAAAACCTACAATTAAGCAAATCAAACACGATCAGTACAGCACGAGTCCGGTTTAACGACCAGCTAACACTCATCAGATCACTTAGTGGCCTCCATGCAGCAACTCCAACCCTTCTCCCCAAAAACCATCATATAATCTCTTCGTTGAACCAAGCTTGTACCCAGACTTTTCACCTGTTTTTCACGCTTTTCTATACTTCATTTGTACATCTAGTAATAAAAAAACGGGATTACATTTTTCATTACTAGTTAGCTTATTCTTTCACACTCTACAACTTTTCCCTAGGTTGAGATGAATAATTAAATTCCACATTATTTTGGCAGATACTGACATTGGACCACTGATGCTGTTGCGTACGCAATTAAGACTTGTGAAACGAAGGAATAACACCTTACACCTAATGTTCAATATCATCCAGTTTGTGTGAGGGCTGGAATACTGCCCGGGTGCGCAAACGAAAGCAGGTAGTTTTTACGGCGTTACACCGGGAGCCTTTGACTTAGAAGTCTATTCCACAAGGCAGTGGAGCAACGTAAGCAGTTGCAGTTCCATAATAGCCGGTGACCAACAATAGGTCCATACGTCATTTGTTTCCTTAGGATCTTGGAGCCCATGTGCACCATTGATTCGGAAGCAGAGTTTTGCAACTCCCGTAGTTGAACGTTCTGTGTCCACCACACCGGTTTAAGCACCGGACATTCGTTTTTGTATTTTCATTTTCTTAAACACCACTACCGCGAGAACGTAGTGAATGACTTACCTGCCAGAGGCTACATGCGCGCAGCCACGTCAGAGCATTTCGAGAGGGAGAGCTGTCTCTCTCCACCCTCGGCTGTACCAGAGCATTTGGGGCGAAATCTGGAAGCACCGGACAGCAGTTTCGTTCTGGTATGGGACTACTCAACAGCGCGCATACATGATGCCGCCCGCCGGATTCGAACACTGGACCTGCGGTCTCGCGCGGGAACGCTTAGCCTTTAGACCACTGAGCCGGAAAGGAAATCAAAAGGAAATTTTGGGAGATAAAGTGTTCGAGGTCATTGTGGGACGAGGTGGTATTAGTTGAAGGGATTCTGTGTTTAATTCGGACTCGCGCCGAACTGATCGTATTTGATGTGCCTAATTGTAATTTTTAATTACTGTGTGCATGAAGGATCCTTTACCAGAACTTGCTGTTTTTACCTGTACGTATGCATTGCAGGAAAACCATCGCAACGTACATCGTTACAAAGCGCGCCATTGGATTTATTTCAAATGGTTCAAATGGTTGTGAACGGAATAGAAGAAGCTTTCCCTTAACAGGCTTCCGTGTCTAGTAACAGGAGATCACCAAATCCTCCAGGCAGGAACCTATGTATGTTAACAATAAAACAGGAAAGGAAATTGATAAATCATAGTGCGATACTATCCTTAGTCCTTAAGAATAGATCAAGTTGCCTCTTAAAGGACTCCTGGGAAGTCAATTAGACTAGCTCGGCCGGCAGAGAACTCCAGCATTTGACAACTCTTAAGGAGTAGAAAGTGTGTCTACAGTCCGTTCTGCTATGTTGTCTCCAGTTTTGGGTGTTACCTCTTAGATTAGTGTTGGAACTAAGCCTGAGTAGGTGTTTGAGAGGATGTCCAGAAGTGTTACGGATACTATGAGCCATCAGAAGGTCACCTCTAAGACGTCTATACTCTAATGGGTAGAAATTAAGTGAATGGAGGCGCTCTTCGTTAGTTTTAAATTTGAGTCCTAGAACTGATTTCGTGGCTAGCCGTTGGATACGCTTCAGGGTGTCCTTATGCTTTCGGAGTGAGGGGGGAAATACTATGTTTCCGTACTTTATATGGGGACGGATAAAACTATTGAAGATTGTATGGAAAGTTCTTCCGTCAAACTGGCCAAAAATGAGCTTCAATGTTACCAGTGTAAGGTTTGCTCGGAAGGCATTTTTGTCACAGTTAGCGTAAGACTTTAAATCGTAGGGCACCAAGATTCTTAAATCTGTTTCGACTTGAGATAATACTAGAGGGGAGTTACCCAAGTTATAACTGTAGTCTGCAACATGTCGCAGATGAACTACTTTACACTTTGAAGTGTTAAAGGTAAGTCCGTTATCGTCTGCCCAACTTTTAAGTCGAGTCAGATCCTCCTGCAGTGCCTGTATATCGTCTTGGTTGCGTATCTCTCTCCAAAGTTTCACGTCGTCGGCAAAAAGTAATAAGTCTGACGTTACCTGTTGAGGAAGATCATTTATGTAGATCAAGAAGAGAAGAGGCCCTAGTACTGAGCCCTGGGGGACCCCACTAGGACATTCCATAGCCTGAGATAAAGTGAAATTAACCCTGACCTTAAAATGTCGATTTTTCAGATATAAACTAAGCCAATCGATTAAAGATGGTCTGATACCCAATCGTTTGAGCTTATTGATAAGATAAGTATGGTTAATCTTATCAAAAGCTTTTGAGAAATCTAGATAGATGATATCAACCTTCCCCTTGTGATCAAGGATGCTTGTCCATCTGTCCACCGCTGTCAGCAGGTTGGTAATACAAGAGTAACCCTTGCTGAAACCATGCTGTTGAGGTGAGAAGAAATTTAAGGGCAGTAAATAGTCATTTATACCATCACATATCAGGGACTCGATGATTTTTGAAGGTATGGAGAGAAGAGCTACCGGTCGGTAACTTGAAGGTTCGCTGCGTCGACCTCCTTTGAAGATTGGTGTGATGTGAGCCAGCCTACAATTTTCCGGTAGTTTTCCTCGACATAGCGAGTGTGAGAACATCACGCCAAGAGGCGTTGCCAAGATTGAGGCTGCTTCCCTCAGTATGGCGGAATGGACCATGTCCGGGCCAGGAGAAGTGTCTAATCTTAAGTGCTGCAGTTTCCGGAACACCAAGTCAGCGCTTAGGTTCACTTCGGAAAGTCCTGTGGAATTGCAAACGAAACTGTCTTCCGTAAAGTTAATGTCAGTCGGTTGAAATGTCTGGGAGTATTGTTCAGCCAGAAGGTTAGCGGCGTCGCCATCGTTGTTGGTCGGGCCGTTAAGACCTACCAGTTGGGAAACTCCAGTTTTGGCTTGACGAAGAGAAGCTGCATAACGGAATAGGTTTTTAGGATTAGCGGCAAATTTGTCCATAAACTTTGTCTGGTACTGGAGCCTATCTTCTCTTATAGCCTTTGTGCATATGTTCCTGATATGTGCCTGATATATGCCTGTACGCTCTGTCGTTGTCAGTTCGTTTGTAATCCGCCCAACAG